TAAGTTAAGTAAATTGATACATTGGACCGATAGTGGTGGTTTTGAGTGTGCGAGACGGCGGATATAAAAAGGGCTGTCTGGTACATCGTGGTGGAGTGTGGCTCAAGGCCTGATGAGGGCAATTACACACGGGTACACAGGCCTGCCGATCAATAGCAAGTCAACTGAGAAACGATAACCTTTTCACGTACCGAATCCGTGAATGCGGGATTACAATTCATTAAATCACCCGTTGCCCTGCCGTGAATTGATAAATGAACCCTTCCCACCAGCGAAGCAACCCAAAGGCTCTGTGCTCGTTGCCTTGCGAACTGATGACTCCTAAGTTTGCAAACTCGCTGGACGGATTGCTGATCGCAGCGCAAGAGACTGGAGGCAGCTTTGTTTCCTTGGGTGCAAATAATTGATCCAGTTGCGGATGCAGAATGATGACTGATACCTTTACATGTGCATCAGTGGTCACATACAATGCGTATTCGTCTAATATATTTTTCGAGATTTGCTTTAAATTAATGTTTACAATATACGGTCTATTCATGCCAGAAGGATGTTGCCATGTATCGCCAGCTCGCAGTTTGGGAAAGTTTTCACTGGTATAAAACATCATTAAGCGTGGAATGATTCAGGGTTGCAATTCAATGCAATATACATATTTTTCTGTCACTCTCATCTGTCGTGTTGATTTCTCTGTGAGTCTTCATGTAACGTAATTTTATCATTTGTGTAAATTGGAGTCGATGCTTGCAATATACGATGCCGTGCATATATCGCAAGTGTAAGGATCAGTTTGGTCGACGATGATACTCGGTTCTTGATTGAGCGTCCGTAAAATCTCAGCGCTTTACACGCGGTGAGCCAACTTGCGTCTCATCTCATCTCAAAACATTGAAAGGGCATCCCCTGGTGGCACGAGGCAGCTCGGCGCCTGACCGGAAATCTGGATTTAGTCTACCATATTATTTGGGTCTTTCGGTAAAGGCACGTAGATAGGTTCAAAGAAAATCACAAAAAACTACACGACGTTTCGATCGCGACACAAGCGGTCGTCGTCAGGAGGAAAAAAGAGGAGTCCACCGGTAGGGGACGATGATTGCTACGTGTCATCCCATTCGAGCAATATGCAGGTATATATTTTTGAAACATTTTCAAATTTGAAACCTGACGCCAGCTCACGATGGCCTACTGTTGCGAATGACGTAACAGGATCTTTAACGTCCACTGCGAGTAAAGCAGACGGTCCGTGTTACCCTTATTACACCCTGAAAAATAATACTTTTTCAGTTGTACGTGCAATGAGGGAGGGCCATTGCACAAAACGTCACCTATTACGTAGCATTTTCATGCCAGAGCGTTATTGATGATTGCATTGAGTTCTAACTTCGTATCCACACTTTGCGGTCTTCTGTTTGCTGGATCGTTTAAAAAATTTTTTAGCTTCAATTAATGTCCCTTTATGTTACGTGTGTTATATGTATGCACATCGCAGCAGCGTCATATTATTGGCGTTCAGAAATAAAACCCAGCGCTTTGTTTGCATTATTGGGCAATTACAGCATTGTGCCTTTTTCAATAACGCATGGTAATGGGGCCTTATGCAACGTTGTAAATTAAACGGCGCTCATTCTTTTGCAGAAATAGCCACACTAGGTTGTCCGTGGGTGTTTTTTGAAAAGTTTACCGAATTGATGTGAGTGCTGTTTTTTCATCCCTCTCTTGTGATTGCTCTCAGGGTTGAAATGGTGAGGAGCTTTTCAGCTGGTCGGTGAATAGCGGGGTAAAACGAGCAGCCAAGAAAACAAATTGCGCTTTTCCCAAAATGTGACTTTTTTCCGCATTGCATTGTTGTCACGTTGACGGGAGACTTAGTTTAGTGTTCCTTTTTTATTTTCTAAACTTAAAAAAAATATGTTTGTTTATATTTTGTTCCTCCTTAATAACGTTTAGTAGTTAGTTTACAGTCACAGAGACTGTCACTTGTGGTCCATTCTTGGCTGTGCAGTTCTTGCACGAATTCACTTAAAATTTTACGCCCAGCAATGTATCCGCTATGGTGGGTTGCACGGCTGATGCATTCAACTTTAGTAATTTCGTAAAACATTTCTTATCCATGGCGCACCACGGGAAGGGGAGTAGAGTCAACGGATGTAATGCATGGAAAAAGAAAAAAAAGGAACGGGTAGGGGAAGGGATGCCGAGAAGGAAGTCTCCAAGATGGACAAAGAGGGTGCAGCTCAAGATGAGCAGCAGGAAGAAGTATCGATCACTGGCCAGGAAGGGGCGGGTGGGAGAAGGAAAAACCGGGCCAAGGTGTCGTGGATGAGACGGTGATCAGAATGGGACGGAAGAGCACGAGAGAGAAGGAAGGAGCCAGTAAAAGTGAGCTGCACGGAGCAATGTCTGTTTTCAGATGGAAAGGGCTTCAGATAAGTCATGTTATTTACGGGAGGCTTGACCTCATTTAGATACAGTATATAGATGGATGATAATCATGGCAATATGTGGGTGGGGGAGACTTAAGTGTTTGATGTTATGCTTTTAAAATGTTAATTATTTTAGGCACTAGTTAAAATACATAAAGTATGTATTGATAAGAAATGTGACAATATGGAACACTTATCTGGAAATTAAGCAATGAGGCATGGCACAAAATAATTATTCGCGTCATCGTGGAGAGCACAAGCCAGGGAATAAACAAGCAGACAACAGTCAATTTTACATGGTCTCATTTATTGTATTTTACACAACAGTGCGGATACATGTTTTGTGTTATGCATCGTACAATCTTGCTTGGAGCTGGGATTCATGTCTTGAAAGATAGGGTCCTTGTCTATCGTGTGGGGGGGAGCAGATCACCAAAGTCGGGACGGGTCGGTCTGACTGCCGATGGGACACCGTGTGTCGAGGCCGGTCAAGAGTGTGCCTGTCTTGAACCAATTCTGCTGAAGCTATGCATGGCGGTGGTGGTTCATGCCTGTAATCCAGCACTTGGGAGGCAATGGATCACGCATGTTGTGAAATGCCCTTTGCGGTGCCATACCCTGGCTCACCAGTAGAAGGCAGTACAGCAAAATGTGGACTCTCATCTGTTCCATCTGTTTTGGATGCAGTCTTGCCTTGCTTGCGCGTTTGGGTTTTCTCCGGGCACTGCGGTTTCCTCCCACATGTGAACACTGCTTTTCAAACTTGTCTCTGGTTCCTCGTGCCTCCGAGTCATCCTCGCTCTTCGAGAGAGAGCGAATGCTGCACTGCGCGTTACCAGTTTAAGTTATATATGCACACAAGAAGGCCTTGTGGTTGATGGGAAGTGTAAAGAGTGATTTTTTTATGCGCAGGGACAGATGAGAGGGAGATGTATCGTCTGCATGCTTTTTCTAAGAAGCATGAATAGAGATGTGGATGCTTGGAATTGGACTGGATTCAATTCGTCATATTGGATATACAGAGGAGTAAGTGGGCTTGGGCCGGATGCCAGAAGGGACCGTGACGGGTGATTGAGACCGTTCCCGGCACAGCTGGAGCTATGAGATCAGCTGGTGTGCAGACACTCCATGGGCCGTTGCATTGCCTGACCAGGGGGGATGACAGTGCTTTAGTGGCAGCCTTCATCCACCACTGGATAGATCATGGTATTGTGCATTTGTGATTACGTGATTTTAAGATTTGCGGGTTTTTTAACCTGCTTACTATTGTGGATAATGATGATGGTATTTTATATCGGTAATTCTATTGAAATAGGTTTATCCTTGCGAAGGCACACATCATGACTTCGGGCATTACGTTACCAAAGATTTTATTATGTTTGCTGTCGTAATTATATTTGAAAACGATATTTATGTGCCAGATACCTACACTTCATTATACAGTATAATCATTCGGAATGTTGTGCATGAGTATAAATCAACACTTGCTCTCAACTGAATTGATGGATGCAGTAGGGATGATTTTTTGGGAAACTTTTCATCAGTCTTTCCACAAAAATGGTTTTACTCCCGATTCGATTCACCCACACACTCCCATGGCCTAACAAAGGCCCCGCCACGGGGCCACACAGCTACAGACAGCAGCGGTGGAACAGTTGAATTTTCGCAAAGGGGTTTTGAATTTTGAAATCTTTGGTCAACTGAATCTACTGAGGTTGCTGCAGGATGCGTGGAGAAGATGCCTAAGTGGGCCTGACGCTGCCCGCATGCACAATAGAAAAATGATGCAGAATCTTTTGAAATTGATCTAAAATTGCAGCTTAAGCATATGCTGTCGAAAATGTTGATGCCGTTTATCACGAGGTGGAAATCAATTTACAATGAGAGATTCAAAAACGTTCTTACAGATAAATTGAACTCTTTAGAATATTACTACTTCAGCACACGGATTTTGTTTGCCGAAATGAAGCCGCAGAATCATTTGTTTGCTCCTGTACCGTTCACGCCGCCGTGTGCGTTGTAGTTTCTCGAAATGTTTTGTCCCGACGGCGTTGCTTGTTGCCGCCGCCGCCGCGGTGACTTTGTTCCCCTTGCGCGAGCGAAGCTTTGTCCTCGCGATGTGAAGAATGGAACAGGTGAGCGCTAATGGGGTTACGCGACACACACGCGCGTGTGTGTGCATACGCGCGCGCGCGCAAGCCAGAACACATTGTGTACGGTCTCGGCTTAAAGAAAAGAAAAAAAATCTAATCGGCAGACGCTGCTGTTTGTCTCTTTCTGAGTGAGTGGCACAATCCGCTACCGACCATCAGTTTAATGATACCCAGACACAACCGAGCGGCATTACTGTGAAGGATGGTGATTTTTTTCGATTTGAAGCTTTCGAGACTGCAGGGATTCATCTCCTGGGTTCTTTCGGTAAAGTCACGTGGAATGGAGATAAAATAATAATGACAATAAAATTCTCACGATGTTTCGGCCACAACACAAGTAGCCTTCCTCAGGTGAAGAAACAGGACTGTCCGGAAGACAGCGCTTGAGTGTCTTCCGGACAGTTCTGTTTCTTCACCTGAGGAAGGCTACTTGTGTTGTGGCCGAAACGTCGTGAGAATTTTATTCTGTTATTATTTTTATTATTTTATCTCCATCCTACGTGACTTTACCGAAAGAACCCAGAAGATGGTGATTTTTATATGCAAAGAATAAGTGAAAAAAATACTCGGTATCCATGAGCGTACAATACGCATGCACTTACAAAAAGTGACTTTTTTTTAACCTGCGGTGACGAATGCAACCGGAATGAATGCCACATTAAAAAAAAATTTACGAGCCCAAATGAGTTTAACGTCGGAGGGCATCCAGAAACGTGGGATTTGTTCTGACACTTCCTGTGCACATTGCCATTTGTGTTTTCGAGTGCCCCCAGCGAGCGAGCATGCGGCTCCAAACCCGTCATGCGTCGCTCCACAGCACGAGTGGAGATGGACCCGCTTGTTGAGTGGCGTCTTCTCTTTCCCCTGCTCACTCACAGGAGAGGACCGTCTCTCTTATTTGTTTTGTGTTCTTGTTTTGTTGTTGTTGTTGTGGGTCTGCATCTGTGTGTGTGGGTGCACAGTTACATTAACACGAGCGCAAGCGTAATTATGCTTCATCAGTATTTGAGGTTTTTAATACTACATAACGAAGCGATTTTAAATTGTATAACTTTTTTTGGGATTAATATATGTCGTTTCTCAACTGCAGTCCCCGTGGTCTACCCATGCTTTCTGTACGTGCCGTGAGCAATTTTTTTATTTGAATGTGAAGAACAAATTGGTCATCACGAAATGGTGGACTGTTGAGGTCTGGAATTAAGAAACGCTATACTCTACAGCTCGATCGGTGGAGGAATGGGTTAGCGTGCTGCACTATAAATCCGTCAACCTATGTTTGACTCACGCCCACGGTTAACTAAGATTTAGTTTAACACGTAGGCGAACTAACATTGTTGACCGGTGGTATCTGAACCTATCCTGCCCGGCACCCTTCACCTATACATACTGACCAGTATGGTGAAGTATGGTCATGCGACCGTCCATGGTCGCCACAGTTTGGAGAGGACTTAATTCTCCAGTGGATTAACAAGGCGCTGTAAGTTATCATTTTTATGGATTAGAAAATCTTTTAATACGAGCGAAACTATGAAGATACAGTTGGAGAGGGCATGACCAACCCTCCCTTCATTCACTTCCTTTCAGATGTGTTTCTTAATGCACCTCTTATCCACAGACTGCTTTGAACTTGAGATGTAGACAAACTCACTGTAGCCCCAAAGCATTGTGGGGCTGCCAAAATGTTTCAACTTTCTCTTCTGCTTTCCTTTCATTGCCTTCTCTCGCAACACAGCCGCATCCACTGAGGGTTTTTTTTTCAATTCCACGCATAAACAAAGTGCGACAGATGATGCTTCTTAATGTGCGGTCGAGTTATTTGAGGTGGGTTCTACAAACTATGAATGCAGTCCCCCCCCGCTCCTCACGCTGCTTTTACTATTCGCTTGTTTCTTTGGACACATCTACACGATGGAATTCCAAACAAAAGTACAAAACACGATGAAAATGATAAATCCTTCATTGTGTTTAAAATGTAATACATTTCGAGCTGAAGTGTATTTGGTTTAAGCCGAAGTAAGCGACATTTGATGGATTTCTTTAAAGTCGCTCGGTCATAGTCGGGAGGTCATTGTAAGAACACAGTCCACGATGACAATGCCCACGATCCTCTGTTTTCCTCTTTCTTTAAAATGAACACGGCCCCTATCTGTGCGGCGCCCTCGCGATGTGGTCGCATTTGGAAACCTGTCATCATCAGCAGCCATGAACTTTCCACTGTTGGATGAAGGAATCCCAAAGCCCTCGCCATCTCTAACGGTCCCGCAATGTAAATCACTCGATATAAATCCAAAATTGCATTGCGTATCCTTCGTCTGCCGTGCGGGACGTGCAGGCTTATGTTGCAGCGTTGCCGTGCGGGACGTGCAGGCTTATGTTGCAGCGTTGCCGTGCGGGACGTGCAGGCTTATGTTGCAGCGTTGCCGTGTGGGACGTGCAGGCTTATGTTGCAGCGTTGCCGTGCGGGACGTGCAGGCTTATGTTGCAGCGTTGCCGTGCGGGACGTGCAGGCTTATGTTGCCGTGCGCTGCGTCTGACCAGGGGGTTCTCAATTTCGTCCGGCACAGAATCAACGCCTCTGTTGCGGCAGCGCAGCGAACGCGCGACTCCGCCGAGGGCTGCGAGTCATTGCCGGGGGTTAGTGGTGGGGGGGGGGAGGTGCATCGCTTCCATTTCCATTTGGCATCTCTTTACGAAAATACAAATAATCCCCGTACGAGACAAACCTTCTCCCAGGGGAGGCCACGACAGCCGGGGGACACTGCTGGATGCGGCGCGGATGCCGAGCGTTGCCGTTGTGCGGCCGCAGGAATCACGCCAATGGGGATGCATCCGCAAGGATTCCCAATAACGACGCTCTCGCTGCCGGGCCCGATTGCTGCCGTGGCGCCCGGCGCAATCTGTCCTATTTGTCCAGGTGCCAGACGGCGCTTTCAAAATTGATCACGCTCCAGCCCTTCCTCCGGAGCTGCTCTCCACGGGGAATGCCGTCGTGCATTTTGGTGCTTTTTTGTTCATCTCTTTTTCTTACCCCCCCCCCCGTTCCCCACACGATTGTGTGTCCAGCGCATGGCGTGTTGTGCCGTGCCCGGGCGGTTCGCCTTAATTTTACCGATTCACCCGGCGAAGATAGCAACGGGGTATTACCGCGCGCACACACACACGCGCACACACTCGCGCACATGTCATCACGGTTGCTGAGCACAGGCACCGATTACACCATTGAAGGTCGAGTAGATGAGAGTTGATGCATTTCTTGATTTGAGCGAGGTTGCAAGAATTTTAGAGAAGGAGCAATGGGACGGAGATGCGTGTTGAACATGTTGATGATTTAGTTGGCGTTAATTTCCTTAGGTTGGTTATAAAGACCCATTCGTTTCTAGAAAATCTTAGGCTATTTTGTACGTAACCTTTTGCAAACCAAATTGTGATTGTTACTTTTAATTTGGGTTAAATTGCGTAACTATGAGAGCCAAACGGTGTCGTGCACTCTCCTCCGCCAAAAATGTTCTCTGGTCTAACACTGATGAGACAAGGCGATGAAGAAGGCTGTCTCTGGTGTAGGCCAATCAGTTTCAAATACGATGCCATCTATTATCAAGAGCATGTTTGTTTGCATGGATTGTCACGTACTGTGTGGGCATTGCAGGCTTGATGTCTTGCAATAGGTTTCCAATCAGTTTAGCATGTAGCTTTTCGCGACCAATATTATCTATTCGGTGTTTGAACATCTTAACACCTTATTCTTGGTTCTTTCGGTAAAGTCGCGTAGAAGGGAAATAATAAAATAATACGGATAAAACAATAAAATTCTCACGACGTTTCGATTCGAACGCAAGCAATCATCAATCGAAACGTCGTGAGAATTTTATTGTTTTATCTGTATTATTTTATTTCCCTTCTACGTGACTTTACCGAAAGAACCAAGAATATGAATCCCTGCAGTCACGAAAGCTTTAAATCGAAAAAAAATCTTAACACCTGTTTTATTGCCAGAAAGGCTAAAGCCTATTCTTACCTTTTTTTGTATCAATGTTAACAGAATGCTGCCAATTGACGTCGCTGTCGGCGAACGGGGGTCTGTTGAGAGACAATGCACGTACTGGATGCGAGGTTTCGCTGGAAATTGCATTCAGCCTCATCAGGCCACCACCTGAGCCTGCTTGGCAAGGCCTCAAAGTCGGTGTGGTGACGTCAGCAGTCCCCGCCAAGCAGGGAGAACAGAAGTTAATAATAATACTACTCATATTCTATAGCGCGTCATTCATGCTAATGGCGTGCCATAACGCTGTACATTCATTATATATCGGGACCAAATCCCAGATACAGCAGCTGAAACCCCTACTACTGCCAGCCAGAATAGAAAATGAAGAAACAAAGTAAGAAATGGCACCAAAACCAAAAGCACAAACAACAAAGAAGTTAGGTCACATCCCAATCTTCATGCTATAATATGGAGTAATCGATTTATCTCATGATTAGGTAGTATGCTGTTAACCACCATAATGTTATGTTGTCAAGTTTATGAATAATGCTAAGAGATATTTTTAGGTGCTATATATACGCATATATAAAATGAGGTCATCATTGGTTCAGCCAACCAGGTGAGCCAGAGGTCAATGTGATAAAATGAAAATTTAATTTGAAACATCAATTATGTCACAATTGATTAGTGTGCTATTAAACACGCGAATGTTCTTATGCTGTTAAGGTTATTAACGTCAGAATGGTTATATTAATGTTGTCGAAAGCCGTATATAATCTCACAGGTTAAATTTAATATTATACTTATTTCTTACCAATTTGTTTTCAAGCCTCAATCAAATGATTAGTCTCAGGCTCATGCTTTTAATATTTAGAACATATTTTTGAATGTCACTGTAAATAGCGTATTTCTTTGACATATTACTCCAATGTTTTGTATTCAAAACAGGCATCGTGGAATTTTATTTTCACTTGTCTTTTCTATAATTTTATTGATAGCTTGTGTGTGCTCAATGGTAGAAACATATTGAATATATCCAGCCTTCCACTGTGGTTGTTGGCTGGTCGCTACGTTGTCTGTTATTTTGCACTCTGTGGCCCTTTGTGTACAATTGAAATACTTTTATGAGGCTGGCAGCTCTTAAAATGCTTCTTCAGAAACAAAGTTTTCCTTTTCACACAGAATAATGATTGAGGCATTATTAATTTACGGGTGAACGTTGTAAGTTGGGCAGCTAACTTTGATCTGACAGCTGTTGCTGTTTCTCTGGTGATGTCCACAGTTATTCCACATGGTTCCCGGTCATGCCCTCATTGCAAGATGAAACAATAAGAATGGGCTTTACCCTTTCCGGCAATAAAACGGGAGGTTTTCAGATGTTCAAACAGCGAACTTTTTGCGAGGGATCAAGTCTGCATTAACCACACACATTTGTGGCAAAACATGTAAACAAACATGCTCCGATAATAGAAACTGATTGGCCTACACCAGAGACACAGCCTTATTGATGGCCTTGTCTCACCACCAGTGTTAGACGAGAGAATTTTAAAAGGCGACAGTACAATTTGATACAAGTATCAATAACCAGTGTGAAGTGTAGTGGTTACTTCTTTAAGTTTCACATCCAGAATCCACTCCTTGGCGTGGAAAAAAATAATTACCGTGGTTTATGCAACATTTTTTGTGCTATGGAGTTGTGCAAAACATCGTTATTGTGTTGTTTGCTACTTTTTATTTTCTTCATCAAGGTATAGTTATTTTGCAATCAAAATAATAATATAATGACGAGTTTTTTATACAGTAGTGTCATGCATGCAACTGAATCGCAGAGGTGCGTTATATAGATTAAGTTGTTTTTAACTAATTGATGGGTAATTATAAACACCTGGGTAGTAAGTGTTATTTAGTCATTGCTTATGCCTCAAAAGTATAGAAAATGGCTATTATTCCCCACAAACTTTGCTTTTGTGACCAGGACAGTGATATTTTGAAATTTACTTATTTTCAATGAGAAAATGGGCGAATTTGTGTCGTTTCGTTCACAAAAAGTCATAAAAAACAACATTAATCAAAATTAGCATGTATTTATACTAAAGTAATACAAAAAATACTATAAAACATTTAGAAGTGAGTAGTTTTTCAAGATTCATGATTATCCTGTAAATCACTTTCACGAATCAGCGCCCAAATGTAGTCTTCCATCATGTTCTCGTTATACTGCCCTTGGTAGCGGCGTTCAAAGTCCAGTATATCCTGGTGGAAGTGATCGCCTTGCTCCTCCGAGTATGCTCCCATGTTCTTGAATTTATCAAGATAAACATCAAGGATATGGACTTTGAGGGACATCCTACAGCCCACTGTGCTGTAGTTCTTCACCAGTCTCAACCAGCTCCACATAGTTTTCGACCTTGTGATTGCCCAGGAAGCCACGAACCACTGCGACAAAGCTGTCCCAAGCCACTTTCTCCTTACTAATGAGCTTCTTGGGGAATTCATTGCACTCCAGGATCTTCTTTATCCATGGCCTGATGAAGACACCAGCTTTCACCTTTGCCTCAGACAGCTTAGAGAAGAAGTCTTGAAGGTACTTGAAGGCTGCCGACTCCTTATCTACAGCTCTGACAAATTGTTCATAAGGCCAAATTAGATGTGCAGTGGTGGCATCAGCATCTTCCGGGGGTCCACCAGTGGCTCCCACTTGACGTTGTTCCTCCCCACAGAGAACTCGGTCTGCTGTGGCCAGTTCTGCCTGTGGTTGTGCGCCTTGGTGTCCCTGCTGTCCCAAAGGCAAAGATAGCAGGGAAACTTGGTAAAACCGCCTTTGAGACCCATCAGGAATGCCACCATTTTGAAGTCTCCAATGACCTCCCAGCCGTACTCATCATACTTCAAGGCATCCAGCAAGGTCTTGATGCTGTTGTAATCCTCTGTGAGGTGCACCGAGTGAGCCAGGGGAAGAGACGGGTACTTGTTACCATTATGGAGCAGCACGGCTTTGAGGCTCCTGGATGAGCTGTCAATGAAGAGGCGCCACTCATTCTGGTTACAGGCGATTCCGATTGCCTCGAACAGACTGGTCACATTGTGGCAGAAGCAGAGCCCATCTTGACGGGTGAAGAAGCTGCAAAAAGGTTGGTGACGCTTCCTCTGATCTGCGACTTGCACACTTTCATCCAAAAAGTTCCACTGCTTGAGCCTAGACGTCAAAAGCTCGGCATTGGACTTGGTCAGACCAAGATCTCTGATCAAGTCGTTGATGTCTTTTTGGTTCGGGTAGTATGGGTTTTTCTCCTCAGCTCCATCTCTGAAATTTTCATCTGGATCTACGTCTTCCTTGCTCTCTGACTTGCTGCTCTCTTCTAAAGAAGGCTGCTCTCTCTCCGGAGGAGTGGGTACGGGGAGCTCATGGCAGTGTGGCACCGGGGCGATGGATGAAGGAAGGTCCGGATACGTGATAGCAGGTGCATTCTTGCCAGTCCGACGTTTGGAAGGGTCCACCATGAAGAAGTAACAGTTGCTTGAGTGGTCAGTGGGTTCCCGCCAAATTCTTGCGATAGCGAACTTCATGGCTCTCTTTTCTCCTCTGTACCATCCTACAAAAATTCATTTATTTCACCCATGACTAATGTGTAAGAGATTCTTCCAACATTTTTCACATATGATATTTTTTTTAAATAACATTGAAAATTGTAAAACATTTAAACATTCAAAACTCCTACAATTACATTTTTTTAAACAAATTTTATAACGTTAAATTCCGAGCAACAATTGTCCATCTTGCATTGCTCGCAGGTGAAATTAGGTGCCCAGGGTTTGTCTTGATCCCCGACAGGCATGCCGAAATATGCCTTGTAGGCCTCACACATCTTAGCAGATGCTTCCACAGAGTACTTTTTTGCTTTTGTCTTGATAAATTGGCCGCAGATATAGTAAAATGCGTCTTCCGGATGCTTGCAGCCTCTTGATGCCATCTTTAGAAAAATGCAGATATGTATCCACTTAGGCAGCTGGAACTAAACTGAACTGGTGGGCTTAAGGCCCCTGTATTTATCCTACTATTTATATTACTGGAAAGTTCTAGAATGTCCTAGAAGTTACTCCAAGTTTACTCAGCAATGAATCTATCTGGAATGCTCTGGAAAATATAAGTTTCTAAATATCACTGTTCCGGTCACAAAAGCAAATAATAGCCATTTTTTGTACTTTTGAGGCATTAGCTATGAGGAAATAACATTTACTACCCAGGGATAAAAAAACATTGTTACAGTGTTATGTGGGGGGTGGGGGGGGGGGAAGCAGAGCACTCTGAGAACATTCTAAAATCTCTAGGGGGGGGGGGGCAACTCGCAATCCCATGCAGACAGAACAGATGATATTAGTCCGCATTTGCTCTACCGCCTCCTGGTGTGACACCTCAATACCCACGGGAAGGGAGGTTGGAAACATTTGTAAATATAAATGTCGTTAAACCCGCCACCACCCGTAACAAATTGGCATGTTTTCGTTACGTGACAAACCTCACTAATTGGCTGTGTCGGGTGGTGCCAGGTTTAACGATACATTTCATATTGGTCGCGAAAGCCTACGTGTTAAACTGGCAAAATGTGTATTTCCATTATTGCTGGAATGCTGGCTACGTGCATAGCCACCACTGCCCAATGTTATCACTCTCAACTTCTTATTGTCTTCGACATGCCTTTTGTGGTGTCAGATAACGTAGTCTTTGCTTGTTAACTTTGCTCCCCATGTTCACGATGCGGTTCATTACATTGTTATTTTATTATTTCACAAGGTGAAACATACATCTATATAAACCACTTTGCTTCCCTATAACACTGCCTTATAATTTGTTCTTAACCTTGTCCTTTTTTTTGGCTATGAGGAAGCACAATTTGCATTGCCCCAGCCTGCATTTACTGCTTGCGTTGAAATTCCTCTGGGGGCAGAGACGCCTTTTGACAATCTGGGATTTGTCTATGACAATCGAGTCAATTTCATTTCAGATGTCTCCATTTGGGCTGTACGTTCTTTGCCTCGACTCCCTCTTTGCAACAGGTGTTCATTATTCTGTCCCCGCTGTCTGCCGACTCAGAGACTTCTGTTATCCTTCGTTCTTTACTTTGCCCAAATGTACAAATCATACGCTCGTCTCTGCACCTTTCACCTCCAATTCCGTCGAATTCCTCCGTGTTTTGCAATCGTTCAGAAGTCGGTTCATTTCCTGAAGGCATTCGGCCACCTCATTACGTCGTCACGGCTCGCTGATGGACCGCGCGTTTGAATTATGGTCGGTGCGGGTAGGCGAAGGGGAGCTCAGTGGTTTAGATATCACGACCCACCGATGTTAACCACAGCCGGTAATCCAACTCAGATCCGCGGCAGTCCACGGCACAATGCGCTAACCACACACACACACAAAGCAGTATATCAAAGTTTCCTACAGTAACACACATTTACAGCTAGCCACCTTGGTTCTGTGAAAATAACGATCATTATTATTACGTACCTTCCCCCACCCCACAATTTGAATAAGAATTAGGGGCACATTTGCTTGCTTCTTCTTCTGCACCCGTGACTTTATTTGTTAAAATTGGAGATTGTGTGGCGTGTGTGCCGAGGGATCCGTACCATAGCGCGGCCGGCGCTACGTGGGAGCGATGCAGACCATCGTTTTGTCATCCCTTCCCCTGCTGATCGATGGCCTGGCCGCCGCGCCTCTTGTGCGAGCGCAGTTTTGACATTTGGATGCGTATCGATCGATTGCGTTCTCACGGCCCCCCTCCGGACGGGACACGGAGAGGGTTGGAACACGCCGCCCTTCCCTGCCATTCCACCCACTGTGCGATTGGCACACCCGCGAGAATCGCCTGTGGTCATCTTGCGACTCCCCCCCCCCCTCTTCCATAACACCCCCTCCCCAAATCTCTGAGATTTTTGGGGCAATACCTAATGGTCCATATCACACAGAATGCACCCGATTTCGTCAGATCTTAGACGCTCGGCAGGGTTGGGCCTGGATAGCGTTTGGATGGGTGACCGCCGTGCACTCCAGGTTGTCATAGGCTACTGCGGGGACGTGCTTCATGTATCACAAGTTAAATTTTAATGTGTAATTTTATTGGAGGACTGTGTGTCGTTGTCTTGGTGTGGTCTGGGACTGTTCTTGCTGTTGTTTTGCTGCCTTGGCTAAGCTTGGGAATTGGTGTACTTATGCAGTTTTACGAATTTATTCTTGGGGATTGCTTTCCTTTCCTTTACTTTGCACTCCGATCATTTTTTGTACTATTTGTTGTTGTAACGTTCTGACCCACGCCCCTACTGGACATCTGTGAAAAAGAGCTTCATAGCTCATCGGATTTCTCCAGGATAAATATTGCGATTCTGAGTAAACAACGGAGAGCGGTGGAATCTGATCGGCAAAGAAGAGGAAACCGCAACAGTCCTTTCAAGAAGAAAATCTGGCAACACTTAACGTAGCCCACGAGACCAGCATCATAACTCCTCCTCGTTAATAGCACAGGACAGACGGCAGTACTCGACAATCCTTTGTTGTCCGATGCTTCTGTTCTCCCACGTTGATGCTGTTCACCCTTCATAATCCGCACAGACCAACGTGGTGAACTGTGGTCAAACAATTACCCCCAATACCTTAATGGCATTGGTTGGTTCTCATCGAGCAGGGGATTGACAAACGTTCACCGAAACGCCCGCTGTCAAAAACCCTCCTCCGCTGAGACGGTGCTGTGGTGTCGCTCATTTTTTTCCCCTTCCCGTGGGGCAAATTGGGTAATTCAAAAATATATATTTTTTCTCTCGCTATGCCCACCATCATAAAAACAATACTTAAAAAAAAGATAAAAAAAATCAAGGTGCAGCCCTGCAACTGCTTGCTCACACTGCGCTATTGCTGCCAAGATGGCCTCCAACTGGAGGAAACTCTACGGAATTGTGGATGGCGCGCTAGAAATCCTCGCTTGTTGGTTATTGGGCCTGCCTCTCCACACTGTCCAGGCATCTCAGAAGAGGTGTTACCCATTTGTGCGGCTGGGTGGGGACAGTGGTGATTTGGGGTGGGTGGGGGCGGCGATTCAGAAACTCACTGCAGTTTTGTCTTTAAACGCCTCTTCGGGAGATGGAACCGAAATGTCCACCTCCGGATTGCAAGTTTTGAGCTCGCGCGAGACAGGCGGTACGCCGCGGCAGACTCCTCGTGGCGTTCACTGCTCCGCGAATGTTTTAATTTTTTCTCCCCCCCCCCACCCCTTCCCCCACCCCCCCCTTAAAAAAAAGTAATGACCTCCTGTTTTTGTCGGTTCACATTTTTCAGGGAACATGACGTTGCCGCGATTGATGTCAACATGGGCTGCCCCAAGGAATATTCAACCAAGGTAATGGTGCTCATCATCCAAATGTCGACGGCCATTTTAAATTACTGTATTCGTTCACGTTGTGTGCGCTGGCTTTTATATTGAATGCATTATTCATCGATTCCAGGAACACTGTTGACTGGCAAATGTGAGCCCTGTTGAATTTTCATACAATAATGGAAATACGGTCGACGGCCCTCTGTTGTGAATGCTATTAAACCCAATGCCGCTAATCCGGCAGGCAGGTTATAAACGTTACGATACCGTACGTCAAAATTCACCTTGGTGATGTTGATATCTCCCTGGAGATCCAACGAATCGTTGCGATTCTGTGTCACGATTCAAGAAATTAATCCGTTCTATTCTTTGGTTTACCATTCTTGTGAATGTAGTGGCCACTGGTGGCTGCAGGGGTCACGTGTACTCCTTCCGTACAATGTATGTTAATCAAAAAAACATTGATTATTACACGCGCTCACCATTTGATGATGGCGAAAAAATAATGTAAAAAATTAAGTATTTGGCGTGGGTTTTTAGCGGTTTTGTTCTCACAATGTGATAACAAAACTGAAACCTTTTTACAAGGATTAATGTCTGCATTAACCACAATACCTGCAGGCAAAATGCAAACAAAAAACATACTATGATAATATATGCATTGTCCTTGAAACTGATTGGTCCACACCAAGGGACGGCTTTCTTTTAAGCCTCGACCCAATTGGTGCTCGACCAGATGACGCCAAAAGGCGTACAGCTCAAAGACAATGCACCATCAAAGTAATGAGGGCTCCGGGTGAGCATCTACATCATTAGACCTCCTTTGCCAGTACCAAAATGTAATAATAGGGGAAACGGGTGATTCAGCCTGTATTATTGATAGTCCTTAGGCAGTGGTGCATTCATGTTTACAGCAAACACTTAACACTACGCAAGACAGCCACTTGAAAGCTCCAAAATGCTGTAGCAAAAATTGAACACCCACTTTAAGCCACGTTAAGTCGGTATTGCTTCGTCGTCATTCACTGTTAACATTGTGCTGGTGGGGTGGAGGGTGTTACTGGTGTGGGGGGGGGGGGTGCGGGGGAGTGAAATTGTCAAATGTAGTAGTCCCTCGGTTAACGTTTTTAATCCGTTCCACGAAAACTACTGTTAACAGAAATAACTGTTAAACGAATATATAAAAATCACCGAGTCTGCAAGTGAGAGGCTGTTTCCACTGCCAAAAGAGAAAACGCAATGCTAAACAAAGCCAGTCGAGGTCTAAACACACAAATGGGCATCGCTGATTGGCCGAGGGAATGGCTCAGCTCACTTTCGAGCACTGCGATTGGCCGAAATTGCCGCCCGCGTGCATATAACATCAACGTACCGTTAAAAATATTTTAACCTTCGTCGAAACCATGAGAATCTGATGGGAGGCGAAACGTTAACCGAACACCGTTCACCGATGTCACGGTTAACCGAGGGACCTACTGTATAGGAAACTCGATCTCCCTTACGGCGTCTGGTTTGGGTAAAAGGTAAAAACAACAAGAGTCTCGTAGCTTATAAGGGTGCAAACATGTATGTTGGTGTAAATTACGCACGTCCGTGGCAGGGAAGAGTAAACACAAGGGACAATACACTGTTGACCTATCAATCAGTGCTCATTGAGTGGTGGTTTGTGTTACTCAGCGGGGTTATGGGATTAGACGACATTGACGAGGGTTTGAACTGGCAGGCAATGAGCTCAATGCTCTACGAAGATAACTGTCTGGAGGATGATGCAAGTCAAAATGAGTTCGTGCTCAAAGGAACTTTGATGTCAGAGTACATTGTTAATGATTGCAGAAATTCGATTCGTGTGCGGTATATATGGTGTCCATAAAAGTATCGTCGTTAGAATTATGATGAGTCATCAGTCTGAAGCGCATTGGTTGAATTGTTGGTCGACGTATTCCTGTCCTTCCCCCCGCACCTCCGATGAGCACGGTTGGCCACGTACGATGCGAAAATAGGTTCAGCATACATACATGTGTGGAGGAGTAGTATGACGGCGTGAGGTCATGGGCGCTGTGAGGTGCGATGACGTCATGTCACGGTGATATACTTAAGGGGGACCCCCGTGACGAAAGCGGGGTCGTTGTGGGAGCCCGGGATGTTGAGCGTCTGAAGGAGGTCTCCTGCTCGTGATCGGACGGTGTTGGCTGATCCCCCGTCCGGGTTCTACGAGTAGGAGAGCCGAAGACATAGCCAGGGGTAGGGCTCACAGAAGTCTGCAAGGGCCGGCTAAGATTACGTGGGGTGCTGCTCTCCTCGGTCGGGCGGTGCTGGATGAGCCCCCGTCGCGACTCGAGTGAGAGAGCCCAAGAGATAGCCCAGGCTAAGAATAGACAGCGCCTGAGGTCCGCGTGAAGGACCGAGTGTAGGGACACCTACCTCTGGTGTGTTTAATACCCCCGTGTTAATAAACCGGCGCAAGCCCTTACGAAGAATTCAGTTTGAGTCGTCCTGCACCACACAACACACGCATGCATTCCTTACTCCCCGAAAAGCTACAGTGATCTTCAACAGCACACAGCAGAAGCATTCAACACGACCACCCCAGAGAGATTGGTGAACCACCTGGGGGAGGCGCTTCTCGATACTGGTGTTTGTTCCGCCGACAACAGAGCACACGTTGGGTACCTGGTGGGGGGTTCGAGGCACGGGAACTTGGGGCGATAAATCTTCTTACGACTGCCCGGGTGTTGGGGGGCAGACGTGCGGTCAAAATGACAGAGGGGGATGTTCACTTCTTGGGAAAGCTTGAAACTTGTCTTGCAGGGGATTTATAAGACGTGCCGGTTTCAGAGATTACGTGAAGCAGGTTTTGAAAGTGAATTTTCCTGCTTAAAGTTGTCTGTGAAATTGTGTTTTTTTATCATGCTTGGAAGGTTTTTTTTTCAGAATAACAATTTTTTAAATGAAAGTACATAATTTGCACGATGTAATCCATTTTACATGAAGGTCTTCCGAAATAATTTTGTTTTTACCAGCTTGCTTTATATTCCGCATCTCGTAAATCGCACATTCATATTAAAGAGCGCCTCTCTCAGAAATTAAACAAATGACTTGGTGATGCTGCTGCTGCTGCGTTGGGAGTGGTGCTGTCGGGGAGGCTGACCCCCGGCTCCTCGCTCACGTGGGATCCACTGCTCCCCTCTTCCGTGTCCTGGGGAGGGTTACTCCTCAACGACTCCCCCCCCCCCTCGCTGCGGCCCCTCGGGGCATGATTCGTGGCTGGCGCTTAGCCACCTGGGATCAATTCACACTATCTCCGCGCACACTCACTCACACCCACTCACTCGAAATCCGACGTCGCTCCTCTCCCGTGCCACGCACCAATCGCGCGCGCGGGACTCGGGGTCGGGGGTCAGAGGGCAGGGACGTCACTCGCACACGCGCAGCCGGTTGGGGGGTTGTCTCGGAGATTTATTTAAAGGGCTGTATGAACAATCTCACGGGTACGCCGCCCGTTCACCCCACGCACACGCTAAACAAAAGGCCGCAAGAATAATCTCGCGTGTACGCCACCCGTTTGCCTCGCGCACACGTTAAGCGAAAGGGCGTTTGAGTAATCTCACGTGCCCCTGTATGAGTCCGCCGCCGCTCACCACACGCTAACCACGAGCTACATGCATGGGCGAGCGCAAACACGTGGGTAAATACACACTCACGCACAAACACAGGGGTACAACGACGCACACCACCATGCATCCGTTCCACCCTCGCAGAAACCACACGACAAGGTTTATTGATCCCCAGCAGTTTATTCTCAGCGAGTCCGAGGCTAGATTACCCGAGTCAGTTTGAGTCAGCAGGGCAGGTCTAACCTATCTCCCGATGGTCTAAGACCCGATCTGTATCGCCTCTTTCAAATCACTCTCCTAAGACAATCTCACAATGGCCTCGATGCCTCACTCTCGGGTACTCACGGTTCGACTCGTACGGAGCTGCTGGGTCGGGTCCTCGCTGCACTTCGACTCGTCTCACGGACGTTCGAGTGGCTGGGAAGTCGAAGGCCCCGAGCGCTGGCTTGAGTACAATCCGAACTAACCCTATCCCTACCTTCTCTACCCTTTTTATTGTCCTCTCCATCAAAGATAAATTGGTGCTGATCCGCTGGCCTCCCGTCCAATCAGGTGGCTCGGATTTCCCGCCACTCTCCCCGGACCGGTGCTCTCTCAGACGTCCGCTTTTCACCCTCTAAACAAGCGCATCTGTCCTACCAATCAGAGGACCGGCCCTGTTCTTCCCGCCGTTCGTGACTCCGTCCCCCCCCTACCTGCCTGCTGACCCGTGTGTGTTGTGTGTGTTTTTTATCCGCGGTGGCTCAGCAGCCCCGTCGTGACCACGTGATTACAACCCAAGTCACGGCGCCGCGGTGCACGTTAGCCTCGGGGGAGGGCGCCCAATTACCTGGTCGCAGGAAACCGTGAAGCTTGGTCCCATGAGAGGGCTTCTGGGTGAAAACCTGTCGGCCAGGTGACCTCCCCTTGGGGCTCTATGTGGGGGTGTGTGTGTTCATGTGGGGGCTCTATGTGGGGGTGTGTGTGTGTGTGTTCATTTGGGGGCTCTATGTGTGTGTGTGTTCATGTGGGGGCTCTATGTGGGGGTGTGTGGGGGTGTGTTCATGTGGGGGCTCTATGTGGGGTGTGTGTGTGTTCATGTGGGGGCTCTATGTGGGGTGTGTGTGTGTTCATGTGGGGGCTCTATGTGGGGGGGTGTGTGTTCATGTGGGGGCTCTATGTGGGTGTGTGTGTGTTCATGTGGGGGCTCTATGTGGGGGTGTGTGTGTGTGTGTTCATGTGGGGGCTCTGTGTGTGTGTGTGTTCATGTGGGGGCTCTATGTGGGTGTGTGTGTGTTCATGTGGGGGCTCTATGTGGGGGTGTGTGTGTGTGTGTTCATGTGGGGGCTCTGTGTGTGTGTGTGTTCATGTGGGGGCTCTATGTGTGTGTGTGTGTTCATGTGGGGGGTGGTGAGGGAAGAGCAGCGTCGGCCCCGTCGCTCGGAGGTGGCGGCGTCGCGCCCACGGAGTCGGCAGGACGGCTTCGCTGCTGCTGCTGCAGCGGCATCACAGTGGCAGGCACAGTTAACAACAACACTCAACACACTCGTCAACAGCACGGTGGCCTTAAATTAAAAAAAAAATACATTAAATTGGCAACGTTTCATGCAGTGGCCTTACTTCCTATCACATCTCACGAGTGTGTTGAGTGTTTTCTCGTTATATCTCAAACACATTGTTGGTTATGATAAGATAATTACTTAATCTTAGAAAAAACTGCTCATAAAGCTACGTAACTAATTTACGTGTCATATTCTTGGTTCTTTCGGTAAGGTCATGTAGAAGGGAAACAATAAAATAATAAAAATATTATACAATATATTTCACTTAATCTTTCAAACCGGCTTGTGTTGCAGTCGAAACGTTGTGAGAATTTTATTGTTTTATAGTTTTATTATTTTATTGTTTCCCTTCTACGTGACTTTACCGAAAGATCCAAGAATATGAATCCCTGCAGTCACGAAAGCTTTAAATCAAAATTAAATTTACGTGTCGTTAAATTTTTTAACTTTGTGACATTGCAACATTTTCTAACCTTATGGATGCGAGGAACACAAATTTAAGAAGCTAAAACAATGCTCAAGATAATTCAACTTGCATATTCTCCATCGGAAAGCAGTGTAAAACAGACATACTGCTCGTTGCATGTTCTCTGCCTTGTAGATCCAGGCAAGGGCAGACATTTATCTCATCCAAAAATCTGGAGGACATGAGCTGAAAATATCAAGGAGTTCAAAGACTTTGATTCTCAGTCATAATGTATATATATGTCAAGTTTAGATGATGGATGTAAAATTGAAGAAACTCTTAGAAAACATAATGCCAAGTGGTGCAAATGTCAGATTTTGGCGAGCAAGTTTGAAGTCACCTGGGATAAGAATTGATAAAGATACACCTAGAGAGATGGCCAGTACACCAAGAACACTTTCAACTTTTTCCAATTTCGATGACGTATGTGTATGTCATCAGTTTTTCATTCAATTCCGGAAGAAATGCGAAAGTAAAATAACTTTATCGCTACCGAGGCTCCCACAAGGCCATGCCATGAGTGCGTGTAGCAGAGTTTTGGTGCCAGCAATCACAGATTGCGGTCGTGTCGCTGCAGTTCTCTGCGGTGAGTACAATATCTTTAAAAACAATGGCGCTATGCCTCTCTTAATTAAATTAACGCTGAAAGCTTGCCCACTCCGAGATTCAGCGGTGAACAGGACACGCCCTGCAACTTGCAGACGTCTCGGAACAGCAAACGATTACGCAGTTTATCTTCTCTTGCGGTGAACGATGGCAACAAGAGATAACAAATATATGCCAAAACGGTGTTTCTTTCGTGGCATTATAGTACGACGTGCCTTTTTTTGCAAAGCAATGCATAGAAAATGGCCCCAGAAGTGAATTACAAAAATAAAAACGGATCGATGAGCTTTTTTGCCATGGTCAGGCTCGGCTCGTGATCAGCTGTGCTGCCCGATGACAGTGTTTTGCTCGGAGCATGCTGACGGGAGCAGGGAGACTTGCAAGTTTTCAGATCTTGCATGCTCATCTCAAGGGGTGTCAAGGTTCTCGCTGTGCACTCGCGAACTAGTTCAGGCCCCAGTCCCTGCCACGCTGATTGCGTACCTTGGAAATGTCAACGAGGCGCACGAGACGCTCACGAGAGGGAATGTCCCGTGTGCTTTTTACGTAAAATGAAAGGTACCCAACGACGTTATTTTCGAGAGTAGGCCATTTTGCGTCAACGTCATGGCCAATTTAAACGGAAAATAACCCACGATTACCCGTGGGTTTTTTTTTTTCAGTAAAGAGGGAACAGAGGGCCTCTTTTCTCAAATTGGATTTACGTGCTCAAAGAAGTTACCCTGCAAGAGAATGCACATTACTCCTCTAATTGAAGACAAGATGAAGATCATCAGGGGCTAGTACGGCGTGTACAAGACGTGCAAAATCAGTGACAGGCGTGCCGAAAGTGTATTTTGGCGGAATAATGTAAGCAGTGTGTAATTGGATGTCCTAAAACATCACTCATTTGATTCTGACTTGCATTGTGTTCTTTGAGCAGTTGTAAAAAAAAGTGTTGAAAGATTTTTTTATATATATAAAAAAAGTTTTATGTAGGGCCATCACCAGTGACGATTATCTTAACCGGTCCTGAACCTCCCCTAGGTCGACTCAGCCTCAAATGAGTACCTAGTGCGGTGTGTAAAAAAACCTCGTCACTAGGGAAACAAAGGCGGCCGGCCGTAGTGCTGGCCGCCAAAATCCTTCGTGTGCCGTGCCGGCCTTCGTAAGCACTCGCTAACGGCACTTACCCCAACAGTCTGTTAAGGCTATAAAGGCGAGCTTTGTCTTTTGCAGTGCTTGGTGCACTGCGCTATGAGCCCAGCAAACTGAATTTGTTTCCTGGCTACCAGTTAATATCACTGGCGAGTGATATCTAAACAGGTGTCCTGGTCCCTTCCTGTCCACCAACCCACACTACCAGCATGTGGAAGTGTGCTTAAACCAGCCCCAAAGACTGAGCCTGCATGGGGAGGCATTAATTGAGAAATTGATTGGCAAAGACCTAGAAATTATTGTTAATATAATAAAGATCGCCCGTGTAGCCTTAACAGGCTGTTGGGGCAAGTGCTGGTAGCGAGCACCTATAAAGGCCGGAACGGTACATGAGGGGGTGGGTGGCCAGCACCACGCTCGACCGCCTTTGTCTCCCCATTAGCGATGTTTACACACCGCACCAGGTACTCATTTGAGGCTGAGTCGACCTCGGGGAGGCCCAGGACCGGTTCAGATAATCGTCACTGGTGTTGGCCGTGAGTGGGAGTCGAATCCGGGTCGCCGGGTTCATAGCGCAGTGTGCTAACCGCTACACTACCGCTCCCCACACACACGCACACACACACACATGCACGCACACACACACGCACACACACACAACAACAACAACCGCCATTCGCCACTAAGTGGCGGTGACGTCACCACGAGGCTTGTGCCAGGCCATGTGGACCTTGAGGCCACGTGAAGTGTCGAACGCCCGCGGGCAGGAGGTCACGGGGCAGACCCAGGTGCCACGGGTCGACTGACTAAGATGACTGAGATTACTGGCTGATGCACCACCTGTGCCCCCTACTGTGCCAACCTGCTGTGCTTTAGCCACACGGCGCTCCGCTCGTTGTTGTGAGCGTCGCTCCTCCGCCCTCCGTTGTTGTTGGAGAGTCGAATGCGGGTCGCTGGGTTCATAGCGCAGCGTAGCGCTAACCGCTGCACCACATACACTCACAGGCAGTTGAGCAGCTCATTATTCGCTACTGAGCCTGGAGTACACAGATCAATTCCCACCACAGCCCCGGTACTTGTGATAGGCCTGACTAAAGTGCCTACAATAGCTGAATCTCGGGTTGCTTGTATATTTAATGCAAAGTCTGTATTTTATCTTAATGGGCCTGTCGCCTGGTTATAAATCCCACAGTTTCTTTTAGAGTCGTAATATTTGAGGTTTAATTGAAATATAAATGCAAATTTTTTTGTTACAAAATTGCCTCATGATGGTACGTTAGGAGATGACGATTATTTGTGTGTTATTTGACAATGTTATTTTCAAAGATGTCTCTCACCCTTCATAAATATATCACCTGTAAGCAGGGTTAATATCAATAATCGACTGCTTGTTTGCAAAGTGGTTTTGTATCTGAGCCACTGGTGAATTGTCACCAATATAGGGCAAGCTTTGCTTGGCACTTTCATTTTCAAAAAAGTAATTGAAACCAAAGTTGAGCAGTACAGAAAAGAAAATGCACATTAAATTTTCTCCACGTCGCTCAGTGACCCATATGCTTAAGCCCATTAAAATTGTGATCGGCTGAAGAAACACGGGCACTGCATGCCATTACGACCCAGTGCACCCTTAACTAACGTTATACCCAGGATAAAATTCGACCGAGAGTCTGGCATATCAGCAGAGTTCAGACAGGTTTGCCGCGTGTGCCGTCAGCTTGGTATCGGCTCACGAAGGTCGCCTGATAAATGTCATGGTTTTGGAACTTGCCACGCACGTGCTCCGCGGGGTTGATTGAGGAGCAGACCTAACCTTTGCCGAGCATGAAACCGGTGGGCTCTTCGCACTTAAGTTGATTAGGTGCGACGTTCGCTCTCGGCACTCTAACGCCGTGTCTCTCCCCTCTTCGTTTTCCTCCTCCTCCTCCTCCTCGTGCAGGGAGGAATGGGTGCTGCCCTCCTTTCGGACCCGGAGAAAATCGAGGAGGTGAGTTGCTCATTGCGTGACCTCGCCGCCTCGCGTGCTCGCCGAGACGGCCGCTACGTGCTCTGAGATTGCCGTCAGCGATTCAAGGGAGAAGGGGGAGTGGGGGGGGGAGCCTTCTGTTGTAAAGGTTGTGACATATCTGACCCACAACTGATAAGATTCCCTCTCCGTGTGACCCTGGCTTGACAGCATGATTATTAGCGTTTTTAAAAAAATTTGAACGTGGCGCACGCGTAACAAAAATATCACGAGGCACACACGCAAACTGCGATTCAGTTTGCGTTGGTCCTGCAACAGCAAGGTAAAGCTTTGTGGGGAACCTTGAAGCAACATCAGCTTAAGGCGAGGGTGAACCCCCCTAAAACGCCATTGAGCTTCCACATCATCAGCGTTTCTGGGTAGATCACGTCCCGGTCGCTACGGGAGGGCGACCTCCAGTACCCATACTCCATGTCCACTTGTGCATTTCGTATCCCGATGTTCCCCACTCTTCAATGGGACATCATTAATAAGCAGTGTGCTTATAGAGATACACCGATTGCACACACCTGCCCCTGTTTTTATATTTGTGTGCGTGCGGCGGATTTGATTTATTATTTTTTTAGAAGAAAATGTTTTTGAAGGATGTTTCCGAGCAAACGGCTCTTTAATTTTTTTCCCGTGCGGACACATCAAAGCCGCCCGCGCTGCCATTGTCCAGCGGGAAGGAGACACCGCTCGTTCTTGTGCCGTGTCTCTGCCCCCCCCCCCCTTCCGTGTTGGGCTTCACCAGACATCCGTCGTCGCCTAGTCTCGCGCCGCAGCCGGGAACATTTGATGAACGTGTTAACTCGATTATTTACGTATACGTCTAACCCCCCCCCCGTTTTTCGGTTTTCAAAAAAAGGGCCCGACATATGAGAACACTTCCCACAGCCTTGTATGCAATGCAGCGCATTTCCATTGTGCTCGCATCAGGTTTGTACTTAAGCGTTTTGATTGACAGCGTAATTATGTGCGGTTAGTCTTCACGTTTTGCCATTTATCTCCATTAGACGCGATAATTTGTGCGTGTGTGACCTGATGATTCTGAGATGAAAATACCAGCCCAACCTTTTGTTGGATGCATGAGTACAATTACTCTGACGGAAGGGACTGCCCGTTCCTTTGCTTTGGTGTGGCACGTGCGGCCCATATTCGATTTGGAGGCTGACAAACAGATGGAGGAGTGAGATGGCTTTTGCTTTTGAAACAACGGGGAAAGTTTCTGTCGTCTCAAAAAATCGCGGCGGCATTTTTGGGCCCTTCTGTGACTTGCCGTTGGCACTCGGCGTGGATTTTTGGTTTTCAGATGACCTTGCCCGTAGTTCGTCTCTGGGCGAGCGAGTGCACGGCACGCCACGGCGGTCTGCTAGGTCATGGCAGGCCCCTCGCTCGCCGAGGTAGACAAAGCGCTTAGCCTTCGGCCCCACGACCTCTCCTGTCGTTTGATGTAAGTCCCAAGTTTTAATTTTGTTTCAGCAGGTGAGAAATCAAGGGGGAACCGGAATGGGTAGACTTTTGCGAAAGTGATCTGCGTTAACGGCAACAAAAAAGACAACGAGCAAAACAAATAATATAACGCGCGGCAAAAGAGAGAAATCGGTAACCAAAAATATAACTTGTTCACGTGGGAAATTGAAACTATTGCACGAACGTGAATCGGTGTTGAGTAAGCCTGCTCAGGAACATTATTTCAGAGTGGTCATAGCAGAATTACAATTTGATTTACAGAAATATTTAACGGATATGTGGGTGACTGTTGTACTAACATGCAAACAGGTCAGTATGCGAGTCCGCCTACGACCACATCGCCTCGAATCGCCTGTCTCGTTAGATCCTAAAGAAAGCTTTGGCCAGGTGCGGTCACGTCAACGATTTTGGCCGTGATGACATCGTCACGGAGGTGAGCTGGACTTGTGCTCCAATCTTCCGTTGTGCGGGATGCATGAACCGAGTGTAGAAAATGGCGGGAATCTCCCGGCTTTTGGCCACATTACCCAGAATGCGCCTGATCTTGTCGCGTCACGCAGGTTAGGTCAAGCAGTTTCAGTTTCTTTATTTTGGTATAGCCCTGTGAGCCATTCGGCTCTTGAATCGGATGCAACCACAACAAACAAAAAAACATGAACAAGAAAACATCTTAAAGTGACTATGTGACTCTGCAAACAGAAAATCCATGAAAAAAACAGCAAAATATTCCTGAAAAAAGCACCGTGTGCAAAAAATCCCAGTGGGATGCAAGTCAAACAACAACAACCACAAGAAAATTTAGATTAAGGCCATCAGTCTAACTCCGTACTACAACAAAACAAACATGTCTACACCAAAAAACTTTTTGAAATCACCAAAAAATAAAGCCATAATTGCAACGTAACAGTGATCATAGGGACTGTGACCGGATTTTTACAATAAACTACATAAATAACATGTAACACCAAATCCTAGAGCCATAGCTGGCTGCATGAGTTGCTCCACAACAACAGAAGCATCAGTCGGAGTGTCAAATGTTTCAATGCACCTTTAAGATCAGCACGCTAAATTAAAATACAGATAATACTTTGCTGCGTCATCCGGAGCGAAAACATTTTATTTTACGCCAATGAATAGCAGTGGCAGCTAGGGGTGTACAACTCCTCTAGAGCAGTTTTGAGAGAATATCTCATTGGTAGTGATTCAAGTTGCAGTTTATTGGCAATAGCAATCCAGACCCTGGGGGCATCAATAGCAAAGGCCCTTCCTACAGTTTTTGTACGGAAATAAGGAATGTGAAGCTGGTAAATGAGCGAAGACCTGAGGTCAAATTTGTACTTTGAAACAGAGAGGAGATCCGGCAGGTAGTCTGCGGATTTTTTTGTAAGTACATCGTGAATAAATAAGATTTGGTGTACAAGCCGTCAAACATTGAGATGTTAAGTTTGACCCAATGTAGAGATCACAGTGGTGAGTCCTATATGGGCAGTTCAATGTAAGTCTTAAGGCCGAGTGATAGATGGAATCAAGCTTCTTCAGTAGAGTACTTGGGGCTGATTTATACACGATGTCACAGTAGTCAAGTAGAGGCAGTATGGTAGCTTTTATCAATTCCAAACGGAACATTGGGGGGAAGCAGTGCTTGTGTCGATACAGAAAACCTAGTTTTATTGTCTTTTTACCAATATAATCAATGTGATCTTTAAAATTCAGTTTTGAATCCAGGATGACCCCAAGATACTTACAGATCTTGACTTGTCATATTTAATATTTTTTTAACGGAATTTAATTGGGGAAAAATAACTTCCTGTTTTAGTCCTGGTGAGAAGCATAGCACCTTGGTTTTGGAGGTATTCAGGACTAGTTTAAGAGCAACTAGCTGATGTTGTAGTTTGTTGAAATCACCCTGTAGCTTAGCAATCACGTCATCCGGAGAGCATCCAGCAGTAATTAGTATCGTGTCATTTGGATCATCTTTAGGGCCCCCTTTGTGAAGTGGACGGACATAGGAATGTTTCTATTCTAGGGGAACTGATGCTTCTTTTATGGACAGGTTGAAAATATGGGCTATTGGTTTGTATATTAGGTGACCAACAGTTTGTAGAGCAAAGACGGGAATACTATCTGCTCCGGTAGAGGAGGACCCTTTGAGGTAGGACAGTTGTTTCAGAACATTACTTTCGTGGATTGGCTGGAAACTACATTTTTTTAATGTTTGGACAGGGGTGTAGGAATTTGCATGAGCAGGGGTGACTCCCAATACATTATAAAAAAGATTACCAGCTTCAGAAAAATGAAGGTTAAAATTGTCAACTATTTTTTTGGGATCTGAAAAATATTCCCCATTTCAGTTAAGCTTAACGGGCAGATTGTCTGATTTGGATGCCTTTTTGATACATTTGATTGTTTTCCAGCAAATCCTGGCATTTCCACTGTGATTCCAGGAGAGTGGAGGAAAAGTAGGCATTTTTTGCATGCCGTATTTTTTTGACGCATCTATTCCTTAAAATCCTGTATTCTAGCCAGTCATTGACCAAGCAGGTCTAAGGCCTGTATATTCTCTGACGGGTGACTGCCATGTATAACAGGTGCTATTGGCTGTTGCAGGACCACGTTGTGGGCAGCAGAGGATAATGCTGAAAAATCCATTGTTGTGCTGTTGTTTCATGTTCCCATATCTATGCTTCCAGCATTCTCTGTACTGCACGAACCAGCATAGGGAATTATGGTCAAATAACACCCACGAAATGGTCACAAGAGGACAGTGGAACGTAACCTATTCTGCACCCCCCCCCCCCCCCCATCATCACCAAATCGCACTGACCAGCAAAGTGAAGTATGGTCAAAAGTCCCCACTTCCCACACCGCAGCGGATTTACAAAATCCTGCACATGTACATACGGGTCCTGGGAAAAACAAAATGCAGACATTATTTACCGTAATTCTGTCGATAGCTCAGATTTTAAGAGTTTGTAATGCGATTCTCCCTCTGCACCAGTACAGCATTTTCTGAGATCGGCTGGCTTCTGGGAGCCGTCCTTGAAGGTCTTCAGCCGAAATGCATTTCAATTTCCTCGTCACGTTTGCTTTAGTGTGCTCGAGTGTCTTCGACATGAACTCCGTACGGAGCGAGTTGCGCGCGCCGCATCGCCTCCGCCATTGGCTGCTGTAACGCGGGTGCGAGAGTTCAGCGCTGAAAAAATGTACCTCGCTCCGTCGCTCTGTTGCCACGGTGGCACTCACAAGGTTGGAGCCCTCCCCCCCGCTCACACCGACGGGGCCTTGTTGTGTGATTGTTTCCGCTCGATCCTGTGACTTGCGCCAGGTGCATATACGATCATCTAGAAGGGCTTAAATATTATGTAAGGTGACTTCTTATTTAACCGTATCGGGATGCTGCCGTTGAGTCGTGATGAGCGCACTGGAACTGCAATCTGGTTAGCTTCGATTTCCCGACACGGCAATTGCAACAACGGCGCAGGTTTCTTCAATCCCCCTGTGCTTCTGTG